ATCCCACTTTCTCCCTCTTTTTTCTGTTCTGAACAATTTGATGTGCATTCTGCACTGTAAATCTGTCTAATAAAGCAGAAAAATCCATGAAACAACAATGGAGGGCATAAGTCCGAGTGATGAAAAAGAAAACCATCGAGAATCATGTGGGCAAATTAGAGCGTTAATCTGTCCGCTCTTTGTGTTTATCTTGGATTATTGCCCCCATCTTGGAAAATGCACATGTCCACTAGAGACCAGGATGTGACCTGCAGAAGAACTGCAGAAAAACAATAAAACCATCAACTGACCCAGAGGTCATCTCTGGAACATCCCGTCTTCATGGCATCCACACAATGTGTTATGCTCCGAAGCGTGATCCTTAAGGTTAGAGGGTTTGTTCAGATCTCCGACCCTCAGTTTGAGGAACAGAATGCTTGCCTAAGCAAGCATCAGTAAAATTCAAAGGCAGTGGTCATATAACTGTCTGACAGCCATCTTTCAATGCAATGTCATGCTAATTTAGCTGGATTTCTCCCCCAAAGCTGCAGGGTCTCTGCCTCTCTTTGATGAACAAGCAGAGTCATTACGTCCACATTAATGTCAAGCCCCTCTTATTTTCCATAAGTAATACATGGCGGGTTGCTGTTGTCATTAAACATGTTCTAATTTGTTCTCTGTTACAAAAAACAACAGTGTTGATTAATTCACACTTCAAGCTGAACGATCGCCACGATTTTTACAAGGTGACTGCGAGTTGCTCTTTTGATCAACGCTAATGCGACACTTTTTTCATTAATTCGGCGATGAAAGCAGAGTGCTTAATTGTCATATTATGGATTTGCTAGTAAATCTGTATTTTGTTTGGTGGTTTGCTGGCAGGAAAAGCATTTAAATTCTCACATTTCTTGTTTGTATTTTGGTGTCTGTTTCTCGGGAAGGAAGGAAGCCCCTTATGCAGATACACACAGCGTTCTCCATTACTCCTAATAAGGTGTCATAAAATTGAATTCCATGCTTGGTTTGTCAGAGAGGAGTTCTTATCCTACTCCAATTTTGAGTTTTAATGGGTAATACTCCTTAGCTCTCTCCTCACAATTAGGCCTCCTAGTTAGCGTTTAATGAAAATCAGATTAAAACATAATCTAATTAAAGTGCATTTTAATCCACGCTATCGTCCCGACTGTCTGTGGCTCAGAATCACGCCGGCACACTGTCAAACTCGGTTAGTTTGCATAGAAGAGGAAGACCAGCCTATCAATCAAGGGTATTTACATATGTATGTGCATTAGAAAGACTCATATGAAGTGCATTTCCGATCGCATTCCCTCTTTAATTTCCTGGGTGAATCTCAGGAAGACATGCCGGGTCACATTCCACTTCAAAATCAGAAGAGTTTTTTATTTTTAAATTGTAATTTCCATGATGAAAATAAAGCCTATTTTTAGTAGCATTAAGATTTTTTGTAATACAATATTTGAGCACATTTTCACCTCCAAATTACTGTACAGCGTCCATATTTTTGTTCTTTTGAGTATTTTTATTTATTTATAAATGATTTATTCTCAATTATTTTTCGTTTTATTGTCATGACAGTAATGTAATATCTTTCCTACATCACAGTATTACTATCATTCTATGATTGATGAATTAATTTATTTATGAAGAGTAGCATATGCAGTTACAGTGAGTTGCTTTGTCTTGTTAAATTTCTATGCTTTTACATAAATGAACAAATAAATAATTAATAAAATGCATGCATAAATATATACAGTGGTGTGAAAAAGTGTTGGCCCCCTTCCTGATTTCTTATTTTTTTGCATGTTTGTCACACTTTAATGTTTCAGATCATCAAACAAATTTAAATATTAGTCAAAGATAACACAAGTAAACACAACATGCATGCATTAAATCACACACACATACACACACACACACACACACACACATATATATACCTTAAAACAAAACAGTATCTATTTTAAAAGCATGCAAATCAAATTTAAGAAGACAAAGCAACTCACAGTAAAGAATATACTGATGCCATTTCCTATGCTTATTCATAATAAATAAGTAAATCACATTACTGTAGTAATATTTAGGCTTACTGTAATACATGAAAATTATTACATGTAATATTTTTCCTTTATCACAGTAAATTTCACTATAGTTCTGATTTATTTATTTCTATAGAAGCGCACAAGTCAAATTTAACAAAGACAAAGCAAAAATAGAATGTTGAAACTTTTTTTTATACCTACTCTTCAAAAAAATATTTATAGAACTGTAGAAATATTTACTTTAATAGATGGAAAAAATTATTTATGTATGTATGTCACAATGTGAAAAAAATTAGGTCCTAATAATGGTCCTAAAAATAGGCTTTGTTGTCTTTATGCAAAATATGATTTCTTATTTATTTATTTATTTATTTTAATTTTGGAGTGAAATATAAGCCAGAAATGTTCAGGTTTTATGAGATTCACACTTCTTTCCTGTGCATAAAAATAAAAAGGGCCAAAATCATTTAAAAATAATTGTTGGATCACTTTGGGAATTAATGGGACAGGCCTGCCATCATGAGTGAACTTCAGCGGAAAAAGTGAAGTGAAAAAAGCTCTGACTTGCGTGCAAGTGTCACTCACAATCAGTGACCGCTGTCAACTTTCAGATCCACTGATATCCATAATTCCCAGCATTGGAGAGGGTTCACAGAGCGATGGAGTCATGCTTCTCTGTTTGAGCCGTGTTGGCCTGTCAAGTCTTTTCTGAGCCATGACAGTGTAATATGTTTTACAAGCAGAATGGCCAAGGGTTATTTCACAGTCAGAGAGAGCAGGCAGGCCAGCCAGTAAAGCGCCGCTGCACGGGGGAACAGCCATGCGGCGACGCAGCACATTTAGTCCACCTGCTGCCTGCTGCCACACTTAGACGAACGTTTGAGCTCCCGAGTGTCAAGGGAAAAGCGCAAAGGCCAATTTATTTCTGTCTTTGTGTCTGGTTTACATTAATAGGAGATTATGACAAAAGTAGCTTGCAAAGAGAGACCATGTCTGTTAGCGTTTTCAGACAGTTTGCTGTAATTAAACTCCGGTTTTAATGAGCAAATGCGGCCAGCAGAAAGACAAACATGCATATGAGGATTATGGGTTAAAAAAAGCCACAAAGCTCAAATGTCTTGCCGACAGGACAGCAGTTTCCTTCACCCTGGTGTTGTGGGACGCTGCAAATTTAGAGGTTTGACCTTTGTGTAAAATAGACCGTTCGCCCCATCTAAAATTCCCTCTGATTTTTTAAAACTTGATTATTAATGTCAGACCTGCAAACTTGAGCCATTGTTTTGAACTTGAGGCTTTTTCTCGCAGTATCTATTCTAAGACACGTGTACCTTTATGACTGGTGCCCACTCCGGGTAATAAAGTGCTGATGCCAGCTTAAAAGAAACTTTAAACACACTTGGTGTAATCAAGGCACAATGCAAAACGGCAGGTCAGCAAAACCAGCCAAAACAATACCCCAAGTCCCCCCTAAATATAACCTTTTTCGGTGCAGCAAATGTTTTGTTTCTGCCTTCCCGTACCTCATATATTTAGATAATTGTTTCTACCTTTCGGGTTTGACTGACCCATTTAGGGTGGTGATTTTGAAAATTAATTTGAGAAACTGATGTGAGGCAACCATCAGAGCAATTTCTAAATGAGGCCAAAATATCTCTAACGCTTTATGATGGAGCATATTATCACATTAGCTTTGAAGTGCTTTAAGATCATGGGTTTTGCAAAGAAGTTTATATTTTATAGACTTTAGTCCCCCTTTAGTGATCAGTGTTTTTTTTCTCTGTTTTCCAGTACAAGCAAAAAAAATAAAATAAAATTACTTAAAGCAAAATTGCATGAGATATTAAGACCTGTTTTCAGAGAGTATATATTTATTTACCCCTATATTTTTTTTCATTTAGAATATAAATCTAAGTATTTGGTGAGGCTTATGTTTCAAGAGAGAAGAATGATAATTTGCTAATGAGGTAAAAAAACAATTTAAGTTACAGTATATATTTTTTAGAATAAGGCATCTTACACGGTTTTGCTTTTCAAGTAAATCATTCCAATCTTATGAGAATAGGGAAGTCCACACTACAACTCTAACGATATCAACACAGAAGAACGAAAGCTTTGGAGTCACTCTCAGAAGAATTTTTATTTTCAGCTAATGAAAAAAAAAAAAAAAAACTAAGCAGAATCCACACAAATTTAAAGTGGCAGATGACAAAAAGGTGCTGTGGATGCTAATAATAGTTATAATTATAGTCATCTTTATAGTTCTTGATCTTGGTGTGAATGGGTCTTAACAGTAGCGCTCCATTTGTTAACGCTGCAATAACTTAAGAACACATGTTCAGTGGCATTGCATTGGGCAAACATCCGTGTTTTTCTAAAATATGTTTCTGGACATAATTGTCTGCTCTTTTATATCTAGAACTTCTGCTAAACATCCTTAATTTAGGTAAAAAAAAATGCTGCTCTTGTAGAAGACTATTAATGTCTGAAATCAAACTTAAAATCTCAAAAGTCTCCTGCTTTTCAAGTAAATTAATTTTATATATTTAGATTTTTTTTAAACTGGGAAAAGATAAATACAGATTTATAAAAAAAATATTTTTTCAGTGTAAATGTCTTTACTAAAGACATTTTTCTTTTCTGTCATAGAGGTGCCTCAAGGTGTTGTCCTGGGTCTGGTTTCATTTCATTATCATTACTGAAGCTATTGGAGTTTCTGTGCTTTAATTTGATAATTTTTGTCACTTGAAAATGGATTTCATTGAGGATCTTGTATAAGAGCCTTTGGCTTTATATCTGATGGAAAATTATTCCAAGATATAGATCCCATCCTTTTGCTTGGATTCAGCTGCCGCAAATAACAGCAAGAGCAGTACGAAGTTATCAGAGTCAAGTGACTTATCTCAATCATTTTATTTCTCTTTTCCACAATCCCTTTTCTACCCACCCACACCCTATCTGCAGGTTTTGAGACCGCCCGATCTTTCGCTCTTCATGGTGCACATGTGATCTTAGCATGCCGAAATCAAAGTCGTGCCATTAAAGCAGTGAGTCTGATCACAGAAGAATGGGTGAGTAAGAACACACACACACACACACACACACACACACTGACACCTTCTGCAGTGGGACGTCATCCCGTGTGACCTTTACATTTCATAAGTCATGTTTTGTGTAGCTGGCATCTCTGCCTTCTCATGAGTCACACAATTAGGTACAGCTTTAAGTCATTAGCACTCTTCCAAAACCTAGTGAGCTGCCTCACTGTCTGCATCTTACAAAGTCAGCTGCCTTCTAAGACAGCATCCTAACTGAAATATAACCTCATATGATCTGATCTGAAATGTTATTCATAGGTAGCAACTGTTTGCATTCCACACGAAAAGCACTGCTCACAAATAGCACACTTAAGACTTGACTAACAATAGATTCTGATATTAGCATGTTGCTACGTTAACGCTGTGATACTGCAAACATTAAGTAAAATAGTACATTTTAATTTGATTAAATTATTTTATGTGTAGTTTCAGTAGAGTGCAGTGATACATTTTTACTTTTCTTGTTTTAGTCATAGTTTTGTTAGTTAAAATCCCAGCATATTTTTAGCTAAGTGATTAATAATTTAGTTTAATGATGCAAACTGATTGTTTAGATGGTTTAGATGGTGCAAACTTCATAAGGCCTGTTCACAACAAAGATAACTATAACGAGAACTATAAAGTTTTAATAATCATTCTAATTCTACGAGAATAGGGAAGTCTACACCACAACTATATCAATAACCAAAAGAGATCAAAACATTTTGTGAGGCTTATGCTTAATACAAAATAATAATAATTTGCTAATGAGAAAACTAAACTTAATTCAAGATATATTTTCTGAGAAAAAAGTCATATCTTGAAGATTTTGCTTTTCAAGTAAATGTTTTTTTAAAGAATGTTTATTTTTTTTATTTTTTTACTGGAAAAATAGAAATGCAAAATTATAAAATTATTTTTCACAGTGTAAATTTCTTTAGAATAGACATTTTTGTTCTCTGTCATAGAGGTGCCTCAAGGTGTTGTCTTGGGTCTGGTTTCATTTCAATATCATTACTAAAGCTACTGGAGTATATTTGGTCTAATTTTGTCATTTTAATCACTTGAAAAGGAACTTGATTGAATATTAAAATGATGAGGTTTTTATAATCATTCCAATCTTATGAGAATAGGGAAGTCCACACTACAACTCTAACGATATCAACACAGAAGTACGATAGCTTTGGAGTCACTCTCAGAACAATTTTTTTTCCAGC